CTTTAAAAATGTCAGGCTTCTGGGAAGAATGTTTTAAGCTTTGAAGCCACTTTGCCTCACAGAGAGCATCTATAGGTCACCACTCTAAATACTTCTGAGGCCTAATGAGTCTTATAAACACATCTTCAATTGAACTTGACCCTGAGGGCATAGGTTAAAGGTTGCATCTGGGATTTGATTCCCCTCCCCTGGAAGTTATTTTCCCCTTTGACATGATTTTGGCCAGCTGGACAAACTATTTTGAGCCTTTCATATTTCTTTTTATTTCTGCTTGAAAACGAAGGGATTTTCTTTTAATAGCATACACAAGTAAAGAAAACAACTCAGTGTTCTTTAGAGAATCTTCTTAGCTTGCTTTACCTAATTTCACTGTGTACATTTTCCATCTCCCACACGGTTGCCAGGAAACATGTTGTGAGTTTCTGCCGTCATAACATGGGGTACTTGTCCTCTACTAGCGATGTCCTCATTGCCTCACCAGCCTCTGCCCAGCGTCCCTATGCAACCCTTCAGCCTCTTCTCAGACCAGGTTCTAAGGAAAGGCTGCATTTTTTAAATTATTATTTTTATTTTTCCAGTAGCGGGGATCGAACTCAGGACCTTAAATTTGCTAGGTAGGAAGACACATTTTAACTTCTAGTATGACAGAACTACATTTCCAGTACTCCCCCTTTTGGTATCACTTATCATTTCTGCCAAGCAAAGCATTCTGGTAAGTATCGACTAAAACAATAATTGATCATTTTCATGCTTTTCGGGTTGGCTGATCTCAGGAAGGTGTTTCTTACACTCCATATATTGTAGACTGAGGCCCTGACTCTGGATACCTTCAGTGGTTGTTTGCCTGGGTGCTGGACTTCCCAAAAGCATGCCTTACTCATACGAGAGGAGATGAAGCTGGCCGGGCCCTCTCTCCAGCAAGGTTACATGGAGTTTTGCCTGACACCTCAGGACTCCAACCGAAAGCTGAATGATCATTCCCCTTAAAGGATGGGTGTGGAAACATCCCTTCTTCAGCATTCTGATGACCATCCAAGCCACAGTTCAGCCCAGAGTGAAAGGGAGGAGAGTGAGACTCCACCTTTAACTGGAGAAGCAACACAAATGTAAGGTAAAGAAGAAAATATTAACAGTTATGTTATAGGAAAATCCACCTCAACTTTACAGCATAATAATTGCTTTAAGAGTTCTGTCTAACTTATCTTCCAGCAAATTTAGTGGCAAAAGAAACCATCAACAGAACTAAAAGACAACCTACAATGTGGGAAGAAATTTTCACCAGCTGCTCCTCAGACAAAGGACTCTTATCTAGAATATATAAAGAACTCAAAACAATCAGCCCCCAAATATAAAGACCCGATTCAAAAATGGGCATCTGAAGTGATCAGACATTTCTCAGACAAAGAGTAAAAGCAGCAAGAAAATATATGAAAAAATGTTCCACATCACTGGTCATTCGATAGATGCAGATAAAAACAACACTGAGATTCCACCTCACCCCACAAAGAATGGCTGCTATCAAGAAATCAACCAATAACAAATGTTGTCAGGGTTGTGGGGAGAAAGGAACCCTTCTCCATTTTTGGTAGGAGTGCAGACTGGTGCAACCACTGTGGAAATCAATGTGGAGATACCTCAAAGAGCTGGGACTAGAGGTTCCATTTGACCCAGCCATCCCTCTGCTGGGTATCTTTCCGAAAGAATTAAAAGAATCATATCACAATGATATATGCACACCTATGTTTATAGCAGCACAGTTTGTAATAGCTAAAACTTGGAAACAGCCCATTTGCCTATCAGTTGGAATCTGGATAAAGAAGATGTGGTTTTTCTATAAAATGGAGTACTACTCAGTCATAAAGAATGACAAATTAGATTCATTTATAGGAAAATAGATATATATTGAGGGTATGATCCTAAGTGAAATAAATAATTAACACATGTGTAAATACCAAGTAGTTTCTCTGGTGTGAACATACTGTAATAGTACATAAGATCCTAATTAGATAATTAACAATGTGAAATAGGAAAAGGGCTAATAACATACTGTAATAGTACATAAGATCCTAATTAGATAATTAACAATGTGAAATAGGAAGAAAGGGCTAAAGGTGTAGGGAAAGTGGGAAGGGTAGGGGAAAGGAAATAGGGACAAGAAAAAATAGGAGGAAACAAAAAAAGTAAACAAAGTTTTTGTAAATAGGGAAAGGAGGGGGGTGAAGGGAGGGCAGGGATATGGGGAAAAAATGAGAACCAGGACCTGTTCTGTAAATTTACAAGATCCCAATGATGAATGGAACTATTCTGTACACCTACAATGTACCAATAAACTCAGTGAGAGAGAAAAAAACCAAAAAATTGCTTTAAGGTAAATAAAACAGAAGAAGACACCGAAGGAAATTAGAAGGCAGAGATTCAGATAGATGGCTGGAGGTCCTCCTAGTGCTGAGAGGTGAGGGCCACCTGGGACCACACAAGTGGGAAAAGAGCTTCAGAGCGAAAGGAAGGAACACATACAGCAGCCTTCAGGGAAACTCGGGCGAGACTGAACTTTGGGGAGGTTTGTGACAGTACAGACAAGGATAGGAACAGAAGGAGGATTTTCAAGAGAGTAAGTCCTAGCCGTGATGAAAATGCACACAGGGCTGGAGGGAGACAAGGCGTGGTTTTCTGTTCTAAGGGACTACACTTACTAAGTCCAGCTCCCCAGCCTGGGGAGGGCTGTGGGCTTTCCACCCTTGTTTGCCTTGTGAGATGTCGAGGGGAAATGTAAGATCAGGAGTTCACTTTGGGGAGCATGGACGAAAAGTGGGGTCATAATTCCCAGTAGGCAGTTAGTTGTGTGAATCTGAATCCACAGAAAATGTCTGGAGAATAATGTGAATTTCAGAGTCGTCAAAGTGTAGATGTAATCAAAAAAATTCTAGAAGGCTGCTTCCAATATTATGCACTATTTAACCAAGTCCACTCTTTTGACACGTACATACAATTAACTCACATCAGCCAGTAAAAATGTGACCAGATAAAATATATCACTTTCCATGCACCTAATGATTTCATGCTTGTCTCTGGCGCGTTACGATGATTACCCTACAGTTTATTTCAGGACTCTCCTCTTCATTATCTTCATTTTCTCCTTCCCCCTACTATTTTCTAAGGATTCAAATAAAGCATAGGTTTCAGGAAAGAGAGGCATAACAGTGATGTGGAAACAGAGCTGTTCTCTGCCCACTATTAGCATTAGAGAGTAAGTGAAAGGCTGTTGGACATCACATATTCAAAAGCCAGAGTTCATGGTGGACTGGGCTTTCTCAGCGTGTAAAGCACAGAGCGATCCACTGTAAAACAAGTGGAGGTGAGGATGATCCCATATATAATCCTGGGTAAGAACAAATCGTCATTTCAAGCCTGGCTAACTTATTTTAGAGAACAATTTTTGGAAAACTGAGTTATCATTTCTGAAAAATAAAGATGTTAATTCTCCACACATCACACACAATAAATTTCAGATAGCTTAAATAGTAAAAATCACATTGCAAAAACATTAGAGAAATATTACTTTAATTCTAGAATGAAGAAACCTAAAAATGTCAGAAAAGGAGCCAAAAGGAACAAATTGATGGATTGGCGTACATGTATATTAAATCCTTCAGCATTAAAATAAAAGCACAAGCAAAAGGTAAAAGTTGGAGGAAAATAAATATACAGCAAATGACTTAAAAGGTGTAACATGAAAATACTTTGAATGTTTAGAAGTCAATAAAACAATAAAAGTTCTCCTAATAGAAAAGGACAAAAAAAATGGGGGAATTTAAAAAACAAAGCAAAATGTTCAAAATGTAAAACTGTTCAATCTTACTACAAGCTAGAGTTGAAAATTGTAAAATAAAGTGATATGGACTGATTTATGTTGGGAAATAAAAGTTAAAATATAAATTAAAATAGGGAGAAGCCACTTATTTAATTAATACTTTAAAAATATCTTTGTATTAAATATGTATTTCCCACTGTTTGGCAAACTATTTGACTTAGACTCCACTAGAAAAAAATAAAACCATATAGAACAACAGTATTATTAGGGATAATCTCTTGAAATTCACATTTCTAATCCTCAGAATTAACAGTTAAAAAGTAATAATTTATAAAGTGTGCCAGATTTGTGAACAAAATTATGGTCATGTACAATGACAATAAATGTAGAGTAACCCAAACATCAAATAATCGAGAGCCCTTAAATAATATTAGTCCATACGTGGTGTGATCAAAAGATGTAGTGAAAGTTTAAATTAAAAAAAATTTGTTACAGTAAGAGACACAGTGCTATTCGTCCCCTCAAAACGTCCCTCTTTGCTGTGAACACACTTATTCCACCCTTCTTTCTACTTTCTGAAGCATTTCTGTAAGTTGGCTTGCACGAGTGTCTTTAGCTGTGTTGTCACAGCTGCCTCAATGTCCTGAAGTGATTAAAGATGTTTACCTTTCATGGTCATTTTTACTACCGGGGAGAACCAAGAACCACATAGGTCCCGGATCTGGTGAATAAGATGATAAGGACGCACCACAGTGTTTTTAGGAGGCCATCTTCCTGTTAGATGACATGTGACTGCTATATCCACCATACTTTTGATTGTACTTCATAAAAGTGTGTAATAAAAGACACCTCGATGACAGGCAATATTTTCAAAATCTAAACATCCAATGTATATTTTGATCACATTTTGTTTCAGGAAAACTCAAATTTTATGCAGAAAGAAATAAATTATTTTTAAATTTAAACATTCACTATATATTTTGATTGCACCTCAGAAAAACATCTGGCACGATATATTGGAAAATATTTATATAGGTTGACTCTGAACATGAGATTGCTTTTCCTCTTTCTTCCTTATTTATTATTATTTCTAAAAGTTTCTATGAATATAACAGAGCAATTTTCTTCCATGAAAAATATTCACACATATTTTAAGTATCAGTTTGAAACCCACGAGCCACACACTTACTCTCCCAGGAAAACAATGTCGGTGTTGATCTTCCCTGACTTGTGGTGTAGGAAGTTCCTCAGGAAAGCAGTCACGCTATCAACAGTGATGTTTCCACAGACCACAATGAACCTGGGTGGCAAGATCAGGAAGGCGGATTATCTGAGGAACACATATAAAGGTGTCCTGTAGTTTCCGTGGGAATGTATTCCAAGACCCACAAGGACAGCCAAATCTGCAGATGCTCATGCCCCCTTATTAAATGGAACAGTATTTTCACCTCAATCATGCACACACTTGTGTATATTTCAAATCATCTCTAGATTACTTCTAATTCCTAATTCAATGAAAATGCCAATGTAAATAGTTGTGATACTGTCTACTTTGGGAATATTGACAAGGAGATCAAGTCTGCATAGATTCACTTCAGATGCATTTTTTTCCAAATATTTTCCAGCTACAGGTGATTGAACCTACAGATGCAGAGAGAACTGTATCTTCATGTCCAGTTTTAGGGGTGGACAATTAGCTTAACCTTGTTTGTAAACAAATTTGATATTTAACTATAGAAGTATAAATACTGCATCCCCAATGGATAAAAAGCATCAGATTTCTGTAGGCTTCTAGCCCAGCTCCGGTTCATGTGCCTGGTTGTTCTCATGTAGCTCTGCATGCACGTAGTCATTATTGCTAGGTTTGTCATGATTATTTACAACTTAAAACAGATTTCCACTTGATGTTTTCACTTGATTCCTGATTAGCTAATATAGGCATATGCTTTTCCTTAAGGGACTGAGACTGAGAATAATTCAATCCATTTTCCCCTGAGGTAGCTCCAACCACATCCTCGAAATCTTCAGTTTATCCTCCGTATTTGAAATGATTGAGTAGTTACAAGACAAGTTAGTACTAGGAAGAGACAGCTAAGACAGGAACAGACGTTTTCTGACAAAATTCTTTCTTTCTGATAATTTTCTTAGATTCAGTACATTCAAAGACAGTGTTTTTTTCACTACTACTCATTTAAGAAGACTGAAAACTTAATCTTAAAATTTTCAGACCAGATTAGCTGATTATTACATGCCCTACATCCCTTTCCTGAGATAAATGGTGTTAGACTTTGGCTTCTGTACTTAATTTTACTGATTCTCAATGTATTTATTTTTTCATTAATTCCACCATTTTTTCTTTCCTCTCTGTACAACTTCATCAGTCACATTTTTTACCAAGTGTGCTAAGAGAGTGCTCGAGGGCTCCAAAGGACTTTCTACCTACATGGTACCTCTTTTCTACAGAGACTAAATAAAAAAGAATTACATCAAATTTAACAGCTCCAATCTGTTCTTTCCTTCTTAGGTGTGAAAAGGCATAAGGATATAGGTGAGATAACATGAATCCACAGTAAAATAGGATCAAACACCTCCACTTTCATTTCCCTCCTGGGGAAGCTACAGCTAGAGCTCAGCCAAAACCAATGGCCTAAGAGGAAAGCAAAAGAAGGTATAAATTACTCCCCATTATAGCAAATCTTTGACCAAAAAAATGAGCCCCAAATGGTTTTGGACAGTTTTCCCTAAGACAGTTTCACTACATTCATTATTTTAAATTTGAATCACGGCTTATCTCAATCCAATCCACGGCTTATCTCAATACTTATGAAGATAAGTAATAGTTATGAGAACACAGTGAAAAGGGTTGTAGAAATACTGCCATGCCCAATAGTATTTATGAATTACTTTTGAATAGTATTTAGTGAATTATAACATAATCTGTCATTTTAATTCTGCTATCAGAATCGAAGGGCAGTCACACAGGTCTATTAGAGAAAGAAAAAGAAGCAAGCAAGCAGGCTAGACTAGAAGTGGTGCAAGAAGGGTTTCTCATGTAGTTGTAGATGATGATATGCATCACAAAAGACCCCGCCAGATCACAACTTGTACAAAGGCACTGCAATTTTACACACACATACACTACTTATGGAAGGATGTCTGCACAGCAACTGTCTACTCCCACATGGATACCATCTTCGTAATGACTCCCAAGGAGTAATTATTGCCTTAAAATGTCTTCTGTAATCCCTCTAATTTCATTGACTTATTCATGACAGAACTGCCCATCAGGTAGGCTGGCCCTGAATTCCTGGGATCAAAGTGATCGGCTTTCATTCCACTTTTACCTTCTTGAATGTGCTTGTAGTTAACTATGGTATGTATTCCCCTCCCAAAGCTCTCCTTTTCTCATTTAAATATTAGTTTGGGGGAAATCTCCCCCTCCCCACTTTGTGTGTGTGTGTGTGTGTGTGTGTGTGTGTTCCTCCATCTCTCTCTTCTTGTTATTTAGGTGAAATACAAGCACTTCTATAGTAGTTTGTATTAAGTAGAAATATATTTGCATCACAATTTTTCTAGCACAGAGTTCATTAGTAAATGAAAGCCCTTGGGTTCCATAACTTGGCCAGGCAATGGGCATCAAGAATGAGATATGTGATTTATAGCATGTCTTAATCTGCTTATATTGTGCTTAAAAAGTTACTCACTTTTTTCCTTTGACCACTTCATAGGAATTGGTATATTTCCTCCTGTTAGCAAAAAGTTCCACCATTTCAGGAACATAGTTCGCAAATAGGACCTAAAATGATCAGCAAACCCCAGGTCTTGTTATTTTGACAGAAAAATCCTCAAATTCCTATACTTAAAGAAAGAAAGAAGAGGCATATAACTTTCTCTCATCTAGAAGTAGTTATGATTGAATTTTTAAAGGGAGGTCAATTTTCTTCCTTACTTTGGTGTCCAGATTGTGTTAAAACTCAATGAAATGTTTTTCAGCATTCAATTAATAAATCCAAAGGCAAGTAGTGAGGCAGCTTCCCTACCAACTTAGTGAATCCTGACTTCCTTCTGCCTCTGACTTTACAGCATTTGGGTCGTGGGACATTCCAGAGTGTGAGAAAAGTAAGGACTGAAATGCAAGTATATAACCCGGTGGACAGAAGATTAGAAGAAAGGTAGATAGAGAGCTCTATTATGGCTCTTAAAGGACTGAAATAAAAGTCACTAAAGGAAAGGAGGCTTCCTTTGCCCTTGTTACACTCTCGAAATCAGCACAGTTCTCATTTATCTGGAATTATATGCTGATGTACAGGCCTTACCCATTAACGGTGGACAAGATGGAACTTTCTTCAGACCAAATCTCAAATGTCTTTTCTCTTTACAAGAAAGACTAATTTATGGGCAAGGATAAAGGAAGATGCATTTGCAGGAATCTTTGCAGAGACTAATAAGGAAAGTCTGCTCCTTTTATCTACCCTGAAGATCAAGAAATTGTGTCATGGGTTCTGGAGAAACGCAGTGTGAAAAATAAGGGATCTACTCATCCCTGCATTTTCTTTCATATGGTGCTTACTCTGAATGAGGCAACTTTCATTCCCAAACCCAAACTGTTTTATCTCGCTCTATTAATCAAGTGGTCTTTCAGCTTACGTAGCTATATTCAAAAAATTTAAATTATTCTTTACCAAACTCCCCAGGGTGAAGAACATGATGAAGGTCCGTCCCAGAGAGGTCTTGGCCACTGTATCTCCAAAGCCAACAGTCGACATTGTTGCTATGACCAGGTAAATGGAATCAAAATAGGATATATTCTGTGCATTTCTGCCTTTGAGCCAGGGATCACCAGAATTCTCCACCTGTCCACAGAGAGAAGGGAAAGATCTCTGAATAGAATGCAAGAGATAGGTTCAAAAGAATAGGCTAATGGTTGGATCGGTTTCACTTCATTCAATTCAAATGAAAATGATTTCTAGGCTGCCGTGAAGATTTTGCAAATTGGAAGCCATGGTTGGAAAACCTTGGTTTTTTTCATAGTGATTATTGGGACCCAGCTTGTGCCCAGCATTCAGACCACTGCCCAGGGGCTGGCTGTCCACTGCTGTCCTTGCCTCCTAACCCCCAGGGGCCCCCACAGCACTCAGACTGAGCAGTTACCACTCATTCTCATTTTCCAACCACCTTAGAGGAAGGAAACTGAACACTTTATTTCAGTGAGTTTAAGCATATGAACACTCGTGTCTAGGGAAAAGCAAACAAGCTTTCCAAGTTATTTCCCTCATCCATGCGAAAGTCTTTCATGATTAAAAAAGCAGAAAAGCATTTTCTTCAAGGATTTTCCCTCTGAGTCTTCCCATTTTAAGAAAAATTAAATTTCATATTATCAATTTCATACTGAATAAGTGGAATAATTGATATATTTATATTTACATTCATTTATATTTATATTCAAATATATATAAATTTGTTCTATACAAAATATTTTATAGATATATTATATCATCTGTAGTATATAATGGATACTTGTAACTCACTCATATATATCCAAATACAACTTTCCTATTTTTAGAGATTTTCCCTATAACTCCCATAGATGCTGTCCATTCCCACTTAGCAACAAAAATGATGAAATGTTGGAGATTTCTGGGGGAAAGACGGCATTTTGTGTCATCAAGAACTGTTACGGTAATTAGAAATGGGTCTGATCACTTTTTAAAAGTGAAGTAACAAATGGGAGCTGTTTCCGAAATTTAATGGGGGATTTGAGAGTGGAGATCCCTATAACCCTGTCCTCCCAAGTCGGAAAGGGATTGTACCCCTGTAATTTCCTCTCAAACTAACAGTAAGTATTTTACAGAGTGTGCGAATCTGCTCCCACTGACTTCTCCTTTTGCTGTATTTTAAGACAATAACATATCACAAAAATAAGCCAGGTTCAATTCACACAGATTTAAATCCCGTAGTATCCTGGGACAGTTTCCTTGAGGCCAAGCCCCACAGCCCCTTTTATAACATCTCCCTGCATGGCTTCAGTAATTTCCCTGAACAAAATGTTGTAAAGACTAAAATTAAGTTGATTTCAGGCTGGAAATAAGGCTTCTGCACTATGTTTGGGAGTCAGATAGCAGCTTCAGCACTCCCAGTTCCTCCCGGCTTACCCAGCACCTCTATACTGCTCATAGCTCGGAGGGGAAGACAGTGGGTGCCTTCGTGGGATCCGTCTTTTCCCTCAGCTCCTCTTCCTATGGTCGCTCCAGCATCAAACCCTTGGCCCAAACTGGGGGCAATAAGTGCAAGGTAAGACAGAGGAATGCGGCTGGTGCTAAAGTAAGTCCAGGTATCAAAGCTGGATTTCGTGATTTTCAGCTTTACATTTGAGCTTTAAGACACAATACACTCTAGAGGAGGGGGACGCAAGGTTCCTTACCTATATCCTCTCACCTTCCACTGGTGTTTCCACTCCTTACATTATAGTTACCTTTTGGGTACACATCTTAGTCTGTAACCATCACGGCCCCAGTCACGTCATCTGTATTAGACGTTTATTCACTGGTTTTGATCATGGCTTGTCCATTTTGAATTCTTAGTTTTGATTCATTTCCTTTGTGGCTGGGTTTTACCAAGCTACATTTCAAAAGTGGGCTCACGGGTCCCATTTGCCTTGGGTGTTTATTGTGACAAGACAGGTTGTATTTCCTTTTGCAGGGACATCACATAGACACTTCTTCATCGTCAGGTATTGATCAACACACCCTGGAAATCCAAGGCTACTTTCTTTTCCCCCCTTCTGTGGGCCTTGCTTTGTTCTTCTTGGATTCTCTTCGTTACCCTTGAAGGCCAGTAACTGCTTTAAAAGACAGCTGGGATTAATAAGAGAGGGTCATTTTACCTGGAATACACGATACTCGACTGATAGATGCAAAGCTTTATTTGTAAATATCTTTCTGGTGCCTTTTTTGTGTCCTTTTGCTTGGGAACATTTAGTCTCAGAAGGATTATTGTAGGCTATGTGCATTCTTGCAGTATGGAAGGCTTTTCAACTTTTTCTTTGTTCCCTTGGGCAAATTATATTATAGAGCTTGGTGTTGTAGCTATTGTATTATGGGGCTACTGTATCTCATACTGGTATCTCTCTGCCCTCCACCCATGTCCTTGTAATTCTGGGCAGAATTCATGCTTTGGTGCCACACTGATTCTTTTTGAGTTAATGCTGGCCTTTGAGCGGCATCAACTTTTGCTGGAGTACTGTGAGTACTGGAAGATGATTTATTTTGGTTTGCATTTCAAATATACTTTCAACCAAACCTACTCTTTCCCTTACTTTGGGGTGTAGCTCTTGTGGGTTTCTTTGTATTGTGGAAATTAGAGAAATCACTGGAGTGGCCTTGCTCAGGAGACTGCACGTCCAGTAGGACACCTGCTCTTGTGTTCAGAGGGGCAGAGCAAGAGTTCAGGGAATAGCGGGGCAGGCAGAGGCTGCTGCCAGCCTTTGGGCACTCACTCTATATACACAGGAAGCAGCTACTCTTTAACTGTGACTCTTGTAGGCCTGGGGAGAGTAGCGTTGCCAGACTCTTGTATTTTCCCAAAGAAATCAGAGATCCGGGTTTTTCCATGAGTTGTCCATAAAACTTAGCAATTAATTAAAAACAAAGAACACAATAAAAACATAATGTGGTCAAATGAAATATGCTCGTAGGCTATAGAAAGCCTGAGAGCCTCTCATTCAAACTGCTACTGAAGGCAGAAGAGGGCATATGGCTCCTCACCTCGCATCTGGGATGAGAGCGACCCCACAGGGACACCGGTGATTCCTTGTCCCCTGATACCTCAGGACTCAAGGTGCAGCCCTCTAACCTCCTTGCTCTGCCTTCCTCTTGACCTTTTCAGGAAAAAAAAAAAGAGTCTCCTTCTGGAGTGTGAAGGAGGGGTGGAGCTGGTTTTTGTTCCTTGAAGCTATTATCCTAGTTTCATTTAGTATTTGACCTTTTTCCTGATAGATCGAGGACAGTTATTTTCTTTTTAAATTATTATTGCTTTAATTAATCCTGACACAGAAGTCAAAGGAAAGTCTGCTATATTTTGTTTGATTTTGTTCACAAATAGTTCTGCAGATTTTTAATATCCTGTTTCAGTTTCCATAGTTTCTAATGACTGCTCCTCAACTGTTTGAAAGCAGTAAATCCCAGGAGTTTCTTTCCTGTTGCTGAAAGCCACTCACTATGCTGCTTATGATATGAGATAGGAACTAGCCTTTCCCTAAGCAAATGAGGCAGCGAGGTACAAAATTTCAGGAGAGTCAGGGAGGCCCACAGCCTATCTCCCAACAGCACCTCCTCCCTCACAAGTATCCAGCTTTACATAAGTCTGAAATTCTCCAATTGGCTTTCTCTTTCCGTTTTTTTTTTTTTTTTTTTTTTTTTGGCAGTATTGGAAATTGAACTCAGGACCTTGAGTGCTCTGGGTAAGGGCTCTACCACTGAGCCACACCTGTAGTTTGCCTTTATTTATTTATTTAATGTCTTATTATATACATGCATATATTTAACTTCAGAAGCCCCAAATCTCCACGAAGCCTCTGTGGGAGATTCTGCCTATTGCTGAGATCCCATAGATTTTATTAGGTCTTTCCCTCAGAGCAGATTTTGAAAGTTGGAAGAGGAACACAGACCCTTCGATGTGATGGGAGACACATACGTATGGTACGTGCGATCATGGAAGAAAATAGAGGGAGAGAAAGGGAGAAGTCACATTTCTGGTCTCCATGGGTCACCCCCCCCGGTAGACACTCACTGGGGATGCAGGGTGGTGACGAGACACTTACCAAGTGAATGAACCCTGCTGCAGTGAACCAGGTACTGAGAAATATTGATAACAACTTGGAAAACTTCACCGAATTGCTGCAGGAAAGAAAAGCAAGAAGCACGGTTGGGTCTCCTCAAGCAGGTCCCAAAACTACAGACACCTCATTCTCTAAGATCTTGCTCACTACTCAAGGCAGGAGTTCATGGACTGGAAGCCATGGTGTTCTCAGGAGGTACTGAGAACCTCACCTGCCAGTCTGCAGTGTGACAAGTTCCTCTGCCTATTTCTTACACACTTTAGCGTCTGAGACACACAGCTCTAAAACTCGCCAGGTCACACATACTTCTTTGTGGATTTTCTGTGACATTCACTAGCCTGGTAGGAAATTGCTTTAAAATTATACAGTATGTAGGTCAACATGAGATAAATTTAATGAGCTATTATGTCATCTAAGGTAATTATACAAAATGTACTGTGCCAAGAGTCCAGGGAGTAGCTTGTAAAATGGAACTCTGAGTAGCTCACTGAAACATAGAACTACTCAGATTGCTGACCTCATAAAGGGGCTTTAAGGGTTTGAAAAGATCAGAAGTGCTTTTGTCACCAAAAGAAAGCCTTAGAGTTTAGCTGACATGTTTCCGGCTTTCAGGCAAGGACACTCCTCAGGCCAGAATGACCTTTCCTATCCCAGTTTCTCCATGATGCACAAACACTAGGCAGTGAAATCCATCTGGTGATATTAGACATTCCTAATGAAGATGCAGAAGGTGTTTAGAGTTTGAATGGATAACAGAACTAGCTGTTTGAAACTTTAGAGGTATTGTTGCTCAGGAGTAGTTTGGAGCTTTGTTGTTTCTTTTTTGAGAAACTGAAGTGACTCTTTCTTGGGTAGGGATGAACCGAGCTTCTTCTGCCTCATAGGCTGTACCACTGAGCTACACCTTCAGCTTAAGGCTCGATTTGCATAATGGGCCCTTCAAGTGCTCAGAGGAATTGGGTTATACTCCTGAACCCAAGGACAAGTTTCTCACGGGCCAGGAGAGACAAGATAATAAAAGCAAATGTGAAGAGACAGAGCTTCTGAACTGGCTGATTATTTGGTGTGTGTGTGTGTGCATGTGTGTATGTGTGTGTGCGTGTGCATGCGTGCGTGTGTGTGTGTGTGTGTTGGTAGAAGAACCTAGAATTAAAATCCAAGTGAACTCAATGAAGAAAAAAAAATCCAAATCGACTTACACTGTGTGGTTTTTTATAAACAAAGATAAACGTCCCTGAAACAATTAAAAGATTTTGACCCAGTGTGCAAAGTAATAGGTAGGGAAAAATAAGTAGAGAGCATCAGGGACGCCGAGGGATTTTTCAGTTGTGGCAAGGAAATTCTGAGGAGGCGCGAGTGGAGTTTGGATCCAGTCAGCATTTTCATTTCTTAATCTGAACAACTAAGCAAGCAGAAAATGTTGGCACTCACCTGGTCTTGATGGCTTGTAGAATTTGCAGTATTTTAGGGAGTTCTAACAGCCGCAAAGCTCGTAGGAACCTTAAACCTATAGAGCAATCAAAAGGAGAGAGCTGGCAAATGCGAAGGGTCACTCTGAAAGATGGCCTGAATTCCAACACAGTCAGGGTCGCAGGCCTCTACTTTCCCCTGAGCGCTCTAATCTAGTGTGTTTGATGGCACAGGCTGAAGGGCGTGAGCTCAAGTTCAAATCCCGGCCTTAAGAGTTACTAGCTGTTGCCACCTACGGCGATAGATACCCTTAGTTCTCTGGGTCCTCATTTGTGAAATGAGAATTATAATCACACTTACCTTAAACAACTGTAGTGGTAATAAAGCATACGGAAGCATGCCTCGCATATAATAAGAACTATTTGTCTACTCTGTTCAATTCTTTAGAATTTAAAGAAAAATTTCCATGAGCTACCTAAACGCCTGCTCGCCCAATCTCTATGCAATGCTGTTCCTCAGGGTTTCTTTATTTTGTAATTGATAACAGATCTGCTATGTACTTCATAGACAAAAGTGAAAATATTAAATTACAGAAAAATGTTCGAATCCAGCGTCACAGTGTGGCTCTGCAATGTCCTCCAGAATGCTCATGTGTGGGGAAGGGAGTGGATCAGGGGTGCTGCACTCACCAGTTGGCTCCCGCTCTAGTGAGTTCAGCGCATCCCCGTGGGGTCCCGGAAGTGTGTATCTCCTTCCCTTCCCTCACCCTCTGTGTCCTGTCACCACGACTTGAGCAGTTTTCCTCTGCAGATATTTTCACTGTGCCCTTGCTGGCTTGGGGCCAGCCAATTGCAGTCTGACTCCTCTAAATACCATGAGCTCAAATCAGACCTGTCCTCCTTGAGGCTGTGGGTGTTGGGTACTATGCTCCAATGACAAGAATATGACTAGGACAGTTACCAGTGCTGTGGTACCGTCCGCACATCCACCTAAAATACAGAACAACTGGACCCATGCCTAACAAGTCTAAGCACGGGTAGCATTCGGGTGCCTGGGGGATACATCGCTGAGCCACACCTTTCAGGTAGGTGGTGCAGCCTTTCCACCCACAATTATCAAAGCCCTACTGTGTGCCAGGTGAATTTCTGGTGTTGAGGTTAAAAATGGTTTCTGATGTAGTAAAAAAAAAAAGAGAGAAAAAAAACCAAAACAAAACAAAGGGGTATTTTTTTTAGTGGCAGACAGGCACTAAGTAAAAATGAAGAATACTTATAAATGCATGTTGAGAATTCTCCATTTTGTTTTAGCTATTGCTATGGATTTCATACACACACTTACCCAGCCAGTTACTCTTCAAGTAATACGAAATAAATGTTGGGGGAATGGTGAAGATGTCTACAAGAGAATTCATCTCTAGCCAGAACTTGATCTTGTCATCAGCTGCCAAAAACTGTAAAAATGAAAACATAAAACTGAAAATTCTGCTACCCTCAAAAATTTCAGTGATCACAGAGATGATATTATTTTAAGCTACACTTGATTCATTCCCTCAAGTTTTGCTATTAGTCTATTTTATGCATAAGCAAAACTCATGTAATCCTACAAGTATATAGATACAGATATTGTTTCTTTAATGAGTATTCAATTAATACTTCTCTGTTCCTAGAACATATATGTGTATGTTTATACATAGTTATATCTTATGTGAGCAGTGAAGGTATATGATTTAAGTTGGTCTTCAAGGAAAAATGCACAACTCTCTAAAAGACTGCTGATCATGAACTGTGTTTATGAGTTTCCCTACTTAGATTAAGAAAACCACATTTCCAGGAAGGAGAATCTGCTCCTGTAAAAAAGATTTTGATGGTCAGTGTAGTAGGATAAGTTTTAAAGGAGGATCATAGAACTACATACTATCTATATGCATATGTGTTTGTACATATATGTACATGAGATGTGTATGAGATATACTTCTCTATATCAAATGTAAGTACACATGTAGTTATATGGATGCATACAGTCTCCCACAAGCATGGAATGGATTAATACACTCAAATATAGACCTAAAATGAGGACTTACTAAATGTCATCGGAATGAGATAATTCATTAATAGATGAATGTTAAAAAAGTGAAACAAAAATATAACAATATTTTATACAGCTAAGATGCTACATGTGCCATTAGTAGAAACAGTGACATCTTCAGAGACTTGCCAGTCCTATTCTACCACCTTGTGATTACTAGTAAAGTTTCCTTTGTGGTAGTTATTAAGCCAATAAAGAAGATAATGTGTCTTTGAAAGGACAGGTTTCATTTGTGATGGCCTTGGTTTATGACTTCCAGAGTAGGTGAGAGAAAGAGGGAAAGAGAGAGAGAGAGAGAGAGAGAGAGAGAGAGAGAGAGAGAGAGAGAGAGAGGTAGAAGAGAGGTTTTATTAACAGCACACAGACTCTTTACCTTCTCAGCCTAATAATTTGGGCAGAGTGTGTCACTGAGGGACACACGGTCTGTACGTTGCTCCAGTTGTGTTTTTGTGTGTCCTCCCACTTCCCATAGGTACTTACTCTCAATCCAAAATAGAAACTAAAGAAAGCATTGAAAGTCAGATCAATGGGGATGGTTTTGTCTTCATATGAAGAACAACTTCCAACAGGGCTGGAAAAGAAATAAGTACAGTGTGTAAAGGTGAATGTTTAAATACCATGTCTATAAAAGACAAATATAGGGAAAAGGCAGGCAATTTTCCATTTATTCACTATCAATGACCAATTCAGACACTTATGTTGAGAGCTGAAGGAAATTACCTTCCTCTTGGGAGCGCAGCTATGCATAAATAAAACCCTTGAATCACCCATGGAGCTTAAAATAACAGGAAATTTCTTGTCATCACTATGATAGGGTTTATCAGTTCAATTTCAATTATTTTCAGTTGATATTTGGAGGTGTACAGATTACATACTACTCCGTGGTTTGCGAGTTCATCTATCCAGTCAATATGTTAGCTTCTGCAACTTTTTGCTCTAGGTCAGATGGAATTGATTTAACCAAATCAAAGAAAAATTCCTGAAAGATCTGTTAGGAGTTTACAAAGCAAAGACTGCCAGTTCCCCTAGGCTACCTACAGTTACCTTAGCTGCATTCTCACACCTCCATCAGTGGCATATCACCGTGTGTGTGTGTGTGTGTGTGTGTGTGTGTGTGTGTGTGTGTGTCAGTGTCTCTAAATTGACAGGGCTGGCTTCGATTTTGTGATTTCCTGCCTCAGACTCTCTAGTAGTTGGATTATAAGAGTGTGCCACTGGACCTAGTTTGGTTGCCTTGCTTTTGAGATTCTGTAAATCCTAAGTTAACCTCAGCTGGAAATTCAATTAAACTCCCAAAGGATTGACATGGAACTCACTTTAGACTGACTTCAGTTCAAGAGACTCCCCCTAACACTGAGCTACAAGGAGAGAGTGCTTTTGGAGGCAAGCAGACAGCACCTTGTTCTGTTACCACAGGTGAGGTTTGGCTTTATTGGTTCTCAAATCCATCCAGAGTTCTTGGAGGCTCATGAGAAGTTCTGATCCAAACTCAGAACTTCTCCTTCAAAGCCCAAGGAACCTGAAACCCTTCTGAAGTGGCCTGTGTGGAGCTGGCAGCTGAAGACACAGAGCCTCAGAACCTCTGTGACCCCACCTAACTCCAGCAAGGCCGGCCGGCAGGTGCAAGGGAAGCACACACATTTCTCCAGAACTTGGTTTAGCACCTGCTGGGGCAACTAAACACACTTTCACGAGCCTGTGTGTGTGTGTGTGTGTGTGTGTGTGTTGTTGACTGTATATTTCACAATACCCCCCCCAAGGGAAAATTTCAGTGTAGCTAAGTAAGTTACTGATATAGCAGACAGAATGATGGAGGACTTTACTCACTCAGAAGAATTGATGAAATAAATGATCAGAGACCCGATGCTTAGAACAAAGACGAGGATCACCTGAAAACAAACAAAATCGGGAATGAATGTGCAAAGCCATTTTATTGTCATGGAAAATTAATAAAACCCAAAAAATCCCGTTTTTTCTCCTTTTAAAATAAATTGAAATATATTTTACCATGAATACTTATTTTTGCAGGAAGGGCGGGGATAAATGTATTTTCTCTTTATACTTTGCCTATATACGGGTAGACAATTATTCACACATTAGTTTATGCTAGCATTTATTAATTCATCTGTTCAAGAAAAGTGAATTGGACCTCTCATTCCCTGAACATTTACCTGCTTTCCTTACCTAAGTTTTAATTTCATGCATGTCAGAATGAACCCTTTCTCCTGGCTGCTACCCCCAGTGCTTGCTGACCATTTATTATGGGATTAATGTATGTTGTGTATTTTATTACGTACTGGAAAATGGGTGCTATTTCACGAAGATCTTGGGCTCATATTTGCTCTTGTTTTTTTTTTCTCTAGAACACTTGAGAACACAATATTAACCTGTAGCAGTGATTTTCCTGCTTTCATTTTTAGGCATACTTGACTGGGATGATAAAATAGTCCACATATGTACATGGATCTGCCAAAATGAGATCCATTTATCTGTATAACTAATATTCACTAGTAAAATTCTTAAAAACAAACAAACAAAGCAAAAACAAAACAAAACATATTAGTCCTGACCTGATAACCACAAAGCAAAAAGGAAAGGGTGGATTAGAGCTTAGTCAATAGTTCAGGACCCAGTGTGTGGCCTTCAGTGCTAGTACACATTGAAATAGTATTTATAAAGACTTTAGGAAAAAGATTGACAAACCAAGAATTCTAAACCCAAATAAATCATTGTTCACTTGTAAAAGTAAGCAGAAAACATTTTGGACATTCAAGGATTCAGAAAGGATACTGTCTACCTTAGTAAATAAATATGGGGAATCGTCAAGAAAAAAAAAGAAGAAAGAAAAATTCAGTAACATGAACTATGTAAGGAAAAAAGGTTGCATAATAAAGTTGATAAAGGTGGTGATTAATGTGACTTTTAAATTTACAAATATTAAGAAGGAATCTTACCAAATGTAATACATCTGCTAGCACCCCCCAAGCTCACCCACTACCACCCAATACACGATCAACAGTAATCAGGAGCTAATGTTCAAATTAGTTCAACCACGCCTGGAAGTAAGAGGGAGGATGTGGAGGAAAATCATACTCAAGGTATCATTCAAGACAATAGGAATATAAAATATGCAGAGGTACACAGAAATACAGAGAAAGAATGAATTTGATTTACCTGGCTTTTATATTATTCTATTAAAATAGAAACATTCACTTAAAAATAATGAAAATAAAATTAATTAAAAATTAAAGTGTTTTAAGGTGGGGAGGGGAGGAGGGGGTGAAGGGAGGGTGGGGATAAGAGGAAAAAATGAGAACCAAGACCTGGCATGTAAAGGTACAAGATCCCAGTAATGAATGTAACTGTATTGTCTGCCTAGAATGTACCAATAAATTCAATTTAAAATTAAAAAAACTAATGCAACAAGCAAAAAAAAATATAAGCTAAAAATACAAATTTCAGCCAATTGTCAGTACTTGGTATGTCCTGAGTGCTTATGTGTATTACACAATTATCTCCAACATTCTGATGAGACTATTATAATCTCCTTTATATTCATATTATATGAATGAAATCCACTTGAAAGAACTTATTTTGCCCAGGACTATATACTAGTGATTTGAGGAGATAATGTTGAAGTCCATCATTCTCAAAGTCCACAGTCACTCAGCCCCTCCAGTAGCCTGAGAAATTAAGACTTTGGCAGCGCTCTTGGCCCTGTGTCCTACACCTCTTCTCCCTTTCTTTACTAACAGATCTTGTGGTTGTTTACTTAAGCTACTGATATTTACATATTCTATTAGCCATGAAATTCAATTTCTAAATATTCTAAAGACAAATTAAACAGATCATAATAAAGGAGAATGATTAAATTCCCCTGGTAAATTAAGAAGTAATTCAGTTAATCGATACAAGAACAATAATCCAGCTACACGACATTTACAAGGGACGCACATAAGAAGAAATAAAAAAAAGATTTGAAAGAGAGCTGGGCAAAGACATCCCAATCAAGCATGCGTGCGTAAAATGAAAGTAGGAAAATCACTGCTACAGGTTAATATTGTGTTCTCAAGCGTTTTAGAAAAAAAAGAGCAAATATGAGTACAACAAAAGTAGACATTCATTATTGTAAAAGGTACTGACAATCCAGAAGGTCTAGTAAATAATTATGTGTAACAATGGATATTAGAATAAATTACCCCAAATCGGTTGGAAATGCAAGACATCCAGAAAAGCTGAAATGTCATAAATGGAGATTTTTGACATGTCCTCTCAATCAACAAAGAATTAAGGATATAGAAAATACATAAACATCATTAGTATTCCTTACATTGTATATCAAACAGGCTAATACATATTCTTTCAAGAGTCTGTTAAATAGTCCTAAAAATTGACCTCATACAAGGCAACAAGGAATTTCTCGTAAATTCTACAAAGTAGAAATCATAAAAGCACTGTCATCCTTGCACCATAAATTTCTACTAAAGTAGTAAATATTACCCCCCCATCTACAATTCATGTCTTTTTTTCAGGAAAATAAAAGCACATCACCTTCCTCTAAGTAGATCGTGAATAAACAAGAAATCAAAATCAAAAATTAAAACAAAGCACAAATTAGGTATCATCCAAAGTTTTACTTGTCAAAGTAAGAGACACCCAGAGAAGCGCTCAGAGGAAAAATTCTTATGAATCAAAGGCAACTCCAGAAACTGCGGTAATGAGGCCTTCTTCGTGGTTGTCGCCCTGAGAAAGCCCCTAGGGTGGTGGGTCCAGGGCTGGGCCTGTGCGGTGCTGGCCTGCATCTTAGGGCTAAGCCAGGTGAAGTAGAGGCCCCACAGGGTCTGGGGCGGAGCGGAGTCCAGAGGAAACCCATGCACTGGAGAGGTCAGCAAGACAGGGCCCAGCTGCCCCTGCCAGGCCACCACGGGTCACTCACACTCTCCTTCCTGATAGCCAAAGAGAAAAGAGAGATCTGCCCGGCCCCCAGGGCGAAGCTGCAGGGCCGGCAGGCAGAGCACCCGCACCCTCCCCGCGGGTGGACGCTGCTCCTAAGGCCCCCAGCCCCGTGTCCTCCGGCCACTTCCTGGTTTGGAACTGAGCATGTGCGGGAGAGAGCAGGAGGGTGCTGAGGGAGGAGAGCCCGGCCCGGAGGTGCTGGATGTGTCCCGCCGCCGGGACGTGTGATCAAGGCCAGCACCGGGATCAGGAGATGGAGATGAGATGGACAAGGCCAAGAAGAGCCCAGGGCCCTCAGACCCAGCCGTCTGTGTGAGCCGCTCCCGGGCTGAAGGGTGTTCCTTCCCTTTTAGAGGCAGGGCCTCAGACGGACTGAGCTACGCTGTGGACCGTTCATTCTTTCTTTTTTCCTTGGAGTCCAGTTCGGGTCTGACTAACTTATCTCCTTGCAGAGAGGAAACATATCCATTCAGAGACTTCTCCTAAAGACTCCGGGTCTGTTTGATGTTCCCGTCCCTTAGCTTGGGGTGAAACTTGGGAGTGATATGAAAGGAAGCCGCTTAGTAACAGAAAAGGTTTATTACAAGGATCGCACCCTGAACTGATGGTTCCGTGTATCAAACGGGAAGGACTGGGAAGGAAGGAAGGAAGGAAGGATTCTGAAATTAAGGAGGAGGAGGATTGTGTGTGTGTGTGTGTGTGTGTGTGTGTGTCCCATTCTGGCATATATGTATAAATTAATGCATTGGTGAATAAAGCTACCTTTTATGAGACTCATGAAATATGTATATCTCCAGAAAAAAACGAAATGAGAATGAAATTTAGGAAAAAGGCACATAAGAAATACCAAAAGAGGAAGAAGGGTATGACGGGGGGAGGGAGAGAAAGAAGGGAAGAGGAGTTGAGAGGGGAGGAGAGCACGGGGAAGGGGGGAGGGGAGGGGAGGGGGGG